ATATATATATATATATATATATATATATATATATATATATATATATATACATATATATACATATATATGTGTGTGTGTGTGTGTGTGAACATGTACGTACATCTGCCTCAGTTTACAAGAGTATTTTTATGTAAATATGTACATTATAAATTGTGTTATATGCAAATTATAGTTGAGTTAGTGTACCAGAGTTTATTTTTTCCTGTGAATAAAACTTCTAACTACAACACAACTTGTCTTTGATTAAAGATTTCCCACTAATACTTATACTAACTATTCAGTTTCAAGTGCTATAAGGTGGAATATGTAGGAAAGCTATATTTATAATTTCTTCTTTTAAGTTATGCTGATAAGCTTACGTAAATCCCCGAAGGTCTTAAAAAATATACTGAATCACGTATCTAAAATGTGTCGTCCAATTCAGATGAACTTTCTTTGTTGTTTTTTCTTTATAACCGTTAGATTCCTTTGGGGTTAAACTGGCGATATCAATTTATTCACACGCTATGAATGCATGAGTATTCATGGTGTTTCAACATCTAGCACAACAGCACCTGTTTATGCCATGTACATACTCATGATGTAGCTGAACATCTACATAAGACTAACGTCCCCTACAGGTGGGAGGCGTTAGCACCACGCTGCGGTGCCCTTGCTGTGGGTACTCCACAACGTCCAGGCGACACATGGAACTTCACGTGGCTACTCACACTGGGGAGAAGCCCTTCGCCTGTCCACACTGCCCCTTCAGAGCTGTCCATAGCGCCAACCTCAAGACCCACATACGGACCCACACGGGAGAAAAGCCCTTTGCCTGCCCTTACTGCCCGTACTCAGCCGCGCAGAAGGAAAAGTTGAAGGCGCACATCCGCACTCACACCGGGGAGAAACCCTTTGCCTGTGAATACTGTCCTTACCGTTCCACCCGGAAGGACCACCTCAAGTCCCACGTGAGGCTAAGGCATTCCCAAAGGATCAACCCCCCGGCGTGAAGGATGGAAGGACACTAGGGGGACCGTGGAAATCATGCTGAGGTTAGTTTACCCTTTGTCTTCGGCATCGTTGAGAGATGTTATTTTTTCTATTATAATTTCATAATTCACTTTTATGATGTTTGTTATCCTTTGAAAAAAAATGATATGTAAACCCATAGTCATTATTTGAACTTTATTTTTTACGGTAGATATGTGGCAAACTTAATTATTCAGCTGTTTGTCTCCCTTTCTATCTTATCCTCTTTTTCCCCTGTCCTTTTCTTCGTACTCATCATCTCTCTCTCTCTATCTATCTAATATTCCTCCCCTTCTCCCCCCCCCCTCTCTCTCTCTCTCTCTCTGGCTCGCTCGCTCGCACGCTCCGTCTCCTCTCTTTTCTCTCTTTCTCTCTCTATCTATCTATGTAATATTCCTCCCCTTTCCCCCCCCCCTTTCTCTCTCTCTCGAGAGAGAGAGACTCTCTCTCGCTCGCTCGCTCCGTCTCCTCTCCTATCCTCTCTTTCTCTCTCTCTCTCTCTCTCTCTCTCTCTCTCTCTCGCTCCGCCTCCTCTCCTTTCTCTCTCTCTCTCTCTGATTTGTATGTATACTATATACTCTATATATTATCCATCTCCCCCTCTTTTTTCGCTCATATACTCTTTTCTTTAATGTTTCTTATGTATATAGCATGTAACATGGAAAATACCGTATCATAGTTTGGATTCTTGAACCCCATTGAAAATGTCCAGTTTTCAGATGTACCTTCGACTCCAGTATACATTAGCTGATCTGTTTTTGAAGACCTCCTCAATAAATATATATATATATTTTTTAATTAGCCCTAAATAAACTATTTTCTTCATCTGTAAGACAGTATATTCTAAGCCAAGAATTCACGGTTCGAAACAGAGAAGTATCGGCGGGAACATAATTGTATAAACCGTTTTAAATGGTTCACTTGTTCGAAGCCTCACTGACGAATGGTGGACTCGGCGTCGTGGTAAAAAAAAAATTGTTTCGTCTTTTTGTTTCTAGGTGACTGATACGTTTAGAAATGTCACTGCCACCTTTATTGTAACCAAATATTGTGTACCGTAGCCTCTGTTAAGTTCAGTCGGAATTCTTGGTCGACCGATGATTTTATGTTTTCACACACACACACACACACACACACACACACACACACACACACACACACACACACACACACACACACACACACACACACACACACACATACACACACACACACACACACAGATAGATAGATAGATAGAGAGTGAGTGAGAGAGAGTGAGAGAGAATGAGAGAGATAGACTGACAGACAGACAGAAGCAGAGAGACAGAGAGAGAGGGGGGGGAGGTATGTCATTTTACTGCAGCAATGAATATCTTGTATTCTTTTACAGATCAAATACATGGCAGTACGTCATCGATTAACTCAGAGGCCTCACTCCCAGGAAGATAGTTCAGACCATAGTTACCGCCATTACCGCAAACCGTCCGAATGCGAAGATGGAGCCTAGACTTCGGATTAATTTTTAACCTTAAAAAACGTCTGCACGCCAGTCAAATCTTACAGATCTGTTTACAGTTTTGTACAAATTCTCAACATCATGATATAAGGGTAATAATCGATTACAAGCTGCAATCAACGCCGAAATCATGGCTCTAGCGCCGCATTCGTATCATTTCCGGCAATATTGGTAACCCTTGTTCAGACACTGCCGTCTTAAGTCTGCCTTCTCACTCATGCACTAAATAAAGTAAATGATAAGTAGTGATAATAACAGGCATTAGTGAGAGCAATTGTCAATCCTGTTTTTTTTTTTAAGGAATTCTCTAAGATGATATTGAAGCTGTTGTGTAATCTTCGTTATTAAATTTAAATAAATCTATTACAGTAGTTTTTTCAACCCAAAAGAATCTTCCATATTTTCTCTATACACACACACACACACACACACACACACACACACACACACACACACACACACACACACACACACACACACACACACACACACTCACACACTCACACACACACACACAAACACACACACACACACACACACACTCACACTCACACACACACACACACACACACACACACACACACACACACACACACACACACACACACACACACACACACACACACAAACACGCACGCACGCACGCACACACTTGCTCATTCAATCATATGCACACGCAGCATCGCCAAAGGGACATTTAGATATGAGTGATAGAGCACTGTTTTCCATTTCTGTGGTTTTATGGACCAACGAATTCTACCGATTTTTACATCACTGTTATTTTATTCATGGATTCATTGAGCATCATACAATTGACGATGATAGTGATTGTGATAAGTATAATGACAATTGCAATTATCATCATTATTAATCTTATTATCAGTAATAATAGTAGGATTATTTATTGATATTATCATTATTATCATTATTTTAATTATTATCATGATCATGATCATCCTCATCCTCCTCCTCATCCTCATCATCCTCATCATCATCATCATCATCATCATCATCATCATCATCATCATCATCATCATCATCATCATAATCATAATCATAATCATAATCATCATCATCATTATCATGATTATCATGATCATCATCATAATCATCATCATGAAGGTGTCATAGCTCAGTGGTAGAGCGCTGGCTTTGCAATCGTGAGGTCCCGGGTTCGCGCCCGGCCGCTGCCCCTCTCAGTCGACTCAGCTGTGAATGAGTACTGATATGCTGACGTCAGCATGTCGGGGTCAAAGTCGGGGCGGAAAGGAACTGGCCACCCTACCGCATCATCCCGCGGCCTAGTAAGCATGTTTCTCTGCGAACATGTCCCCTACGTTCACATGGACAGGGACAAAAAAAAAAAAAAAAAAAAAAAATCATCATCATCATCATCATCATCATTGTTTTTTACTATCAGTGTTGTTATTATTATCATTACTCTTATTACAATTACTGTTACTGTTATTATTATTGTTATCATTATTATTATTTTGATTATTATATTATTATTACTATTATCAATATTATTATTATTATTGTTATTACTATTATTATGATGATGATGATGATGATGATGATGATGATTAATATTATTATTAGCATTATTATTATCATTATTATTATTATTATCAGTGTTAGTAGTATAATTATTATTGTTATTATTAATATCATTATTATCATTATTATTATCAATTTTATCAGTATGGGTTATTATTATTATTATTATTATTATTATTATTATTATTATTATTATTATTGCCACATCAGCAGCTTTACTATCGTTATATTATCATTTCATGATCGTTATCACCGTCAATATTAGATTTATCACCATCATCGTCATCATCATCATCATCATCACCATCATCATTATTATTATCATCATCATCATCATCATCATCATCATCTTCATCTTCATCATCTTCATTATCCTCCTCCTCATCATCAGCATCTTCATTATTATGATCATCATTTTATCATTTTGTTATGATCATTAGCTTTACTTGTGTTTTATAATTTTGTTGCTATTGCAGTTGTTGGTTTGATATTATTATCATTATTATAGTTATTAACATTTTATTATTATCATTATCGCCATTACTATTTTATTATCATCATCATCATCATCATCTTCATCTTCATCATCTTCATTATCCTCCTCCTCATCATCAGCATCTTCATTATTATGATCATCATTTTATCATTTTGTTATGATCATTAGCTTTACTTGTGTTTTATAATTTTGTTGCTATTGCAGTTGTTGGTTTGATATTATTGTCATTATTATAGTTATTATCATTTTTATTATTATCATTATCGCCATTACCATTATCATCATTCTCATTATCATCATCATGATGATGATGATGATCATCATCATCATCATGATCATCATGATCATGATCATCATGATCATCATGATCATGATCATGATCATCATGATCATGATCATGATCATCATCATCACTGTTAGTATCAGTGTCATTAT